CAGAGCCCGGACTTGAACCCGATCTAACATCTCTGGAAAGACCTGAAAATAGCTGTGCAGCGACGCTCCCCATCCAACCGGACAGAGCTTGAGAGGATCTGCAGAGAAGAATGGGAGAAACTCCCCAAATACAGGTGTGCCAAGCTTGTAGCGTCATACCCAAGAAGACTCAAGGCTGTAATCACTGCCAAAGGTGCTTCAACAAAGTACTGCGTAAAGGGTCTGAATACTTACGTAAATGTGATATTTCCATTTAATGTTTTGTATACATTTGTAACAATTTCTAAAAACCTGTTTTTGCTTTGTCATTATGGGGTATTGTGTGTAGATTGATGAGGGGAAAAAATAATTTAATACATTTGAGAGTACGGCTGTAACGTAACAAAATGTGGAAAAAGTCAAGGGGTCTGAATACTTTCCAAATGCACTGTAGATAGATAGATAGATAGATAGATAGATAGATAGATAGATAGATAGATAGATAGATAGATAGATAGATAGATAGATAGATAGATAGATAGATAGATAGATAGATAGATAGATAGATAGATAGATAGATAGATAGATAGATAGAGAGATAGAGAGAGAGATAGAGAGATAGAGAGATAGATAGAGAGATAGAGAGATAGATAGAGAGATAGGCTGGAGGGACTGCCAGGCAGAGCAAAGGGATGGGGATATTAAAAGGAAAAATGCCCCTTTCGAAGCTTTTATGTACGCCAATCTCCTCTCTCTCTCTCTCTCTCGCTCTCCCCATCTCCTTGCATTCAGTACAGAATGTTCCCCTTTTGAATCCAGAAGAGAACAGGAGCAATAGATGTGACTATCATAATGCCCCTTTGTGGCAGGGAAGGGCTGTTTTGATAAGATGGGACATTGTACAGCTGCAGACAGAGGGTGGGTCCCAAATGATACCTCATTCCCTCTATGGTCCCTGGTCAAAAGCAGTGCACTAAATAGAGAACAGGGTGGCATTTGACACAGCCTGTAGTAGTATTGGACTGTTTCCATTGGATCTCAATTCCAAAGAACTGTAGGGGATCTGCTGTAACAACACAAGGTTTAGTGATCTAAATTGTTCCGTTTATCTAGTTCAAAGAAGACAGACGCCAGGGATTCTAACATCCTTTATGTTCTAAAAGTGTCCAAATGTTTTCAATCAATAGCACACATGCATTATAAGGATTGCAGATTCAAAAATCAAAAAACATACCACACCGCTATGTTCACCGCCCAGCTCACCGCCCAGTTCACCGCCCAGTTCACCGCCCAGTTCAACAACCAGTTCACCGCCCAGTTCACCGCCCAGTTCACCGCCCAGTTCACCGCCCATTGCACCGCCCATTGCACCGCCCAGCTCACCTGGAGTGTGTGAATACACTTGAACCTCACCTCACCCCCAAACACACACACACTGTCGCACAGACAGAAAACTGTAATCTTCTGGGTAATACGCTTTCCACTCTAAATCCTGCTTAGTGCCATTGTGGCACTGTAACAAGACTCCTGTACTCTGGAGGGGTGTGGAAAGAGGGAACAGGAGAGGAGGGATGAGAGGAGGAGGAGGAGGAGGAGGAGAGGAGGGAAAGGAGAGGAGGAAAGGAGAGGAGGAAAGGAGAGGAGGAAAGGAGAGGAGGAGGAGGAGGAGGAGGAGAGGAGGAAAGGAGAGGAGGAAAGGAGGAGGAGGAGAGGAGGAAAGGAGGGGGAGAGGAGGAAAGGAGGGGGAGAGGAGGAGAGGAGGGAAGGAGGGGGAGAGGGAAGAAGGGGATTTGAGAGGCTAATATGGAAGGGTAGCAGAGGATGGGGGGGGGGGGATTCCTCAGGGAGTGGGGTGATGGGGGTTGGGGATGGGTAGTGAGAGGGGGGTGATGGAGGTCGGGATGGGGTGTGGGAGGGGGGTGATGGGGGTCGGGATGGAGAGTGGGAGGGGGGTGATGGGGTCGGGGATGTAGAGTGTGAGGGTGGTGATGGGGTCGGGGATATGGAGTGGGAAGGGGGGGGGTGATGGGGTCGGGGATGTGGAGTGGGAAGGGGGTGATGGGGTCGGGGATGTGGAGTCTGCCTGGTGAGGGGAGACAGACAGACGGTTAATACAGGATGTAGAATTTACTGCCTTAGTGCTGGTCCTTTCCTGCACCGGGGGAATTTTCAGATACATTTGTCAAATTAGCCAGGACACCATGAATGATTAATGATCTGCCTTGATTGATTAGTCTTTTAGGAGTCTATAAATGATTGCCAAATGGTTGCCATACGAAGTACGATTTTTATATTCTGTTTTTGTTGTAATTGTCTTTCTTTCATGCGTGGCTTATACTGAAACTCTATCGATAATTTAAAAGAAGATGGATACTATCTGGAATGGTGTCTATCCTAGATGTAGCAATATTATAAATATTTTATACTGAACAAAAATATAAACGCAACATGCAACAATTTCAACGATTTTACTGAGTTACACTTCATATAAGGAAATCAGTCAATTAAAATAAATTCATTAGGCCCTAATCTATGGCTTTCACATGACTGGGCATGGGCACCGCCATGGGTGGGCCTGGGAGGGCATATGGGTGGGCAGAAATACTCCTTAGCACACCTCCTCCCCCTCCTCAGACGATCCCGCAGGTGAAGAAGCCAGATGTGGAGGTCCTAGGCTGGCGTGGTTACACGTGGTCTACGGTTGTGAGGCCGGTTGGATGTACTGCCATATTCTCTAAAACAACGTTGGAGGCAGCTTATGGTAGAGAAATGAACATTAAATTCCCTGGCAACAGCTCTGTTGGACATTCCTGCAGTCAGCATGCCAATTGCGCGCTCCCTCAAAACTTGAGACATCTGTGGCCTTTTATTGTCGACAGCACAAGGTGCACCTGTGTAATGATCATGCTGTTTAATCAGCTTCTTGATAAGCCACACCTGTCAGGTGGATGCATTATCTTGGCAAAGCAGAAATGCTCACTAACAGGGATTTAAACAAATGTGTGCACCAAATTTTAGAGAAATAAGCTTTTTGTGGGTATGGAAAATTTCAGATCTTTTATTTCATCTCATGAAACATGGGACCAACACTTTGCATGTTGCGTTTGTATTTTGGTTCAGTATATAACTGTCATTCTCAAAGCATTGACTCTCTCACTCACTCACTCACTCTTGAACAGGATGTACCGACCCCTTTTGTCTGGCGATTCTGTATGTCACTGATCTCTCTCTTTTTGCCCTCTCTCTCCCTCCTCTCCAGAGCTCTGGGAGGTGCCGTTTGAAGACATCTCTGAGCTGCAGTGGGTAGGGAGCGGGGCCCAGGGGGCAGTCTTCCTGGGGAAACTCCACGGACAGGAAGTAGCTGTGAAGAAGGTCCGAGACATTAAGGAGACAGACATCAGACATCTGAGAAAACTCAAACACCCCAACATCATCACCTTCAAGTAAGTATACAGTACAGTAGAATACAGTATTTGTATAATACAGTACAGTATAATACAGTACAGTAAAATACAGTACAGTATAATACAGTACAGAGAGAGACAATACAGTAGAATACTGTACAGTAGAATACAGTACAGTAGAGTATAATACAGTAGAATACAGTACAGTAGAGTACTAACTGTAAGTCATTGTGGATAAGAGCATCTGCTAAATGACTAAAATGTAATGTAAAATGTATAATACAGTAGAATACAGTACAGTATAATTCAAAAGAATGCAGTAGACTGCAGTACAGTAGAATACAGTCGAACACAGTACAGTAGAGTATAATACAGTATAATACAGTACATTAGAATACAGTACAGTAGAATACCGTACAGTAAAGTATAATACATTAGAAGACAGTACAGTAGAATATATACCCAGGCCCATGCTATTGTACCTTAATGGAGTACTATGTTACTAATCCTCTCTCCTCTCCTCTCTTCTTCCCTCTCTCCTCCCCTCTCTCCTCTCCTCCCTCTCTCTCCTCTCCTCCCTCTCTCCTCTCCTCCCTCTCTCCTCTCCTCCATCCAGGGGTATCTGCACCCAGGCTCCCTGCTACTGTATCCTAATGGAGTACTGTGCCCAGGGCCAGCTGTACGAGGTGCTGAGGACAGGTAGGAAGATCACCCCCTCCCTGCTCATCGACTGGGCCATGGGCATGGCTGGGGGCATGAACTACCTCCACCTCCACAAGATCATCCACAGAGACCTCAAGTCGCCCAAGTAAGTAGTCCTACCTACATGATAGCTATGCTTTAGCTTGGTAGCAGATCCGTATGTGCTTGAGCCAACACCTCTGTTGTGTTCATTGTCATGCCAAACATATTGTTGTACACTAAGTAGATATCATTGAAGATGATATGTTTTAGGGGTGTTAGCGACTTAGCGTACATTTAGTTTCTCAAGTTACCATACCTCAATATCATATTCTTGTTTGAGTCGTTTGAATAGTTCTAGGGAAACCTAGAACAGCTGAAATTGTGGCTACCGTACCTTCCCCTGACTGTCTCTCTGTGTGGCTACCGTACCTTCCCCTGACTGTCTCTCTGTGTGGCTACCGTACCTTCCCCTGACTGTGTCTCTCTGTTGTGGCTACCGTACCTTCCCCTGACTGTGTCTCTGTGTGGCTACTGTACCTTACCCCTATGTGTCTCTCTGTGTGGCTACCGTACCTTCCCCTGACTGTCTCTCTGTGTGGCTACTGTACCTTCCCCTGACTGTGTCTCTCTGTGTGGCTACTGTACCTTCCCCTGACTGTGTCTCTCTGTGTGGCTACTGTACCTTCCCCTGACTGTCTCTCTGTGTGGCTACTGTACCTTCCCCTGACTGTCTCTCTGTGTGGCTACTGTACCTTCCCCTGACTGTGTCTCTCTGTGTGGCTACTGTACCTTCCCCTGACTGTGTCTCTGTGTGGCTACTGTACCTTCTCTTCCCCTGACTGTCTCTCTGTGTGGCTACCGTACCTTCCCCTGACTGTGTCTCTGTGTGGCTACGGTACCTTCCCCTGACTGTGTCTCTCTGTGTGGCTACTGTACCTCCCCTGACTGTGTCTCTGTGTGGCTACTGTACATTCCCCTGACTGTCTCTCTGTGTGGCTACTGTACCTTCCCCTGACTGTCTCTCTGTGTGGCTACTGTACCTTCCCCTGACTGTGTCTCTCTGTGTGGCTACTGTACCTTCCCCTGACTGTGTCTCTCTGTGTGGCTACTGTACCTTCCCCTGACTGTCTCTCTGTGTGGCTACTGTACCTTCTCTTCTCCTGACTGTCTCTCTGTGTGGCTACTGTACCTTCCCCTGACTGTCTCTCTGTGGCTACTGTACCTTCCCCTGACTGTGTCTCTCTGTGTGGCTACTGTACCTTCCCCTGACTGTGTCTCTGTGTGGCTACTGTACCTTCCCCTGACTGTGTCTCTGTGTGGCTACTGTACCTTCCCCTGACTGTGTCTCTGTGTGGCTTACTGTAACCTTCCCCTGACTGTGTCTCTCTGTGTGGCTACTGTACCTTCCCCTGACTGTCTCTCTGTGTGGCTACGTACCTTCCCCTGACTGTGTCTCTCTGTGTGGCTACTGTACTCCCGACTGTGTCTCTGTGTGGCTACTTACCTTCTCTTCCCCGACTGTCTCTCTGTGGCTACTGTACCTTCCCCCTGAATGTCTCTCTGTGGCTACTGTACCTTCCCCTGACTGTGTCTCTGTGTGGCTACTGTACCTTCCCCTGACTGTCTCTCTGTGGCTACTGTACCTTCCCCTGAATGTCTCTCTGTGTGGCTACTGTACCTTCCCCTGACTGTCTCTCTGTGTGGCTACTGTACCTTCCCCTGACTGTGTCTCTCTGTGTGGCTACTGTACCTTCCCCTGACTGTGTCTCTGTGTGGCTACTGTACCTTCCCCTGACTGTGTCTCTCTGTGTGGGCTACTGTACCTTCCCCTGACTGTGTCTCTCTGTGTGGCTACTGTACCTTCCCCTGACTGTGTCTCTGTGTGGCTACTGTACCTTCCCCTGACTGTGTCTCTCTGTGTGGCTACTGTACCTTCCCCTGACTGTGTCTCTCTGTGTGGCTACTGTACCTTCCCCTGACTGTGTCTCTGTGTGGCTACTGTACCTTCCCCTGACTGTGTCTCTCTGTGGCTACTGTACCTTCCCCTGACTGTGTCTCTCTGTGTGGCTACTGTACCTTCCCCTGACTGTCTCTCTGTGTGGCTACTGTACCTTCCCCTGACTGTGTCTCTCTGTGTGGCTACTGTACCTTCCCCTGACTGTGTCTCTGTGTGGCTACTGTACCTTCCCCTGACTGTGTCTCTCTGTGTGGCTACTGTACCTTCCCCTGACTATGTCTCTCTGTGGCTACTGTACCTTCCCCTGACTGTGTCTCTCTGTGTGGCTACTGTACCTTCCCCTGACTGTGTCTCTGTGTGGCTACTGTACCTTCCCCTGACTGTGTCTCTCTGTGTGGCTACTGTACCTTCCCCTGACTGTGTCTCTCTGTGGCTACCGTACCTTCCCCTGACTGTGTCTCTCTGTGGCTACCGTACCTTCCCCTGACTGTGTCTCTCTGTGGCTACTGTACCTTCCCCTGACTGTGCCTGTATATTCTACTCCAGTATGTTGATCACCTACGATGACGCGGTGAAGATCTCTGACTTCGGGACGTCTAAGGAGATGAGTGATAAGAGCACCAAGATGTCCTTCGCCGGTACGGTGGCCTGGATGGCCCCAGAGGTCATCAGGAACGAACCTGTCTCAGAGAAGGTCGACATCTGGTAAGAGAAAACACCTTCTTACATTTTCCTTCATGCTTTATAGCATAATTTATTTTGATATCAACCCATCTGAAAAAGAGACCAGTTAAAAAAAAATGTTAAATAATATCAAATCTTTCCAAATCATTTAAGTATAATTTTGGTAATTTTAGCAGACGCTCTTATCCAGAGTGCCTTGAGACCACCCTCCCTTTCTGTTTCCATTTCCGTCTCTCTCTCTCTCTCTCTCTCTCTCTCTCTCTCTCTCTCTCTCTCTCTCTCCCTCTCCCCCTCCTTCCCTCCCTCCCTCCCTCTCCTAAGAGAGGAATGCTGGCTAATTCAATTATTGATTTGCCAGATGCTCTTGTGCTCTGGAGAGGCTGAAATATCCTTTCTAAAGCCTGTGGCCTGGCCTTGGGCCTAAAGCCCACTAGACTGGATATGGAGAGGGGAGTCTGATTTCACTGATCCTACGCTACTGAAAGATGAGAGTGTGATTTCTCAGAGAGTCGAATGGTAGAGTCTGATTTCCACGCATTTTAACTGTTTTTTAAAAAACATTTTAGTCATTTGGCAGACACTCTAATTTAGGAGGACTTACAATCAGTGCATTCAACAATATAAATGTAGGTCCATGATCATTTCTACAGTTTCGATTAGGTTTTTCTAATTTCTCTGAAAAGCACCCGCGGGCCGGATCAAATATATATATATATATTTTTTTTTCTCTATTTTTTATTTTTTTTTTACCTTTATTTAAGCAGGTAAACCAGTTGAGAACAAGTTCTCATTTACAACTGCGACCTGGCCAAGATAAAGCAAAGCAGTGCGATAAAAACAACAACACAGAGTTACATATGGGGTAAAACAAAACAAAGTCAAAAAAATACAACAGAAATACATATATATACAGTGTGTGCAAATTTAGCAAGTTATGGAGGTAAGGCAATAAAATAGGCTATAGTGCAAAATAATTACAATTAGTATTAACACTGGAATGATAGATGTGCAAGAGATGATGTGCAAATAGAGATACTGGGGTACAGATGAGCAAAATAAATAACAATATAGGGATGAGGTAGTTGGGCGGGCTAATTTCAGATGGGCTGTGTACAGGTGCAGTGATCGGTAAGGTGCTCTGACAAATAGGCTCAAGTCTGACACATGAACTAAAAGGTACACCTGTTGATGTGTGAAAAATGACAAGAATGTAGACCCTATGTATCTGTATCTATCTCTGAAACGGGTCAACATTATCTCCTGCCCTTATCGCTGTCTATTCTGAGAGAAAGGATGATTTGAGGTGTGTTGTTCGCTCAGTTTGGTCTGCCTTAACATGCTCTGACAGTTGGGCCAGACTAAATCTAAAAGAACATTGGGTCTAGACAGTAAAATGTTCAGAGAATGAGGAGTTATTTTTACTAAATCCATTTAAAGAGAGTGTTCGTTGGAACCATTGCATAGAGGCATTGTGACAAAGACTGTGGCAGTGAGACAGCAAGGTTAGACTCTCTCCCTTTACCTTACTACTCTGGAGAAATCTAAAATAAGATTGGGTGTAGAGAAAATAAAATGGTTTCTTCAAGAATAACATAACAAGACAGAGAATGCTCCTTGTCTTTAATAACATAACAAGACAGAGAATGCTCCTTGTCTTTAATAACATAACAAGACAGAGAATGCTCCTTGTCTTTAATAACATAACAAGACAGAGAATGCTCCTTGTCTTTAATAACATAACAAGACAGAGAATGCTCATTGTCTTTAATAACATAAGAGGACAGAGTGCTCCTTGTCTTTAATAACATAAGAGAACAGAGTTCTCCTTGTCTTTAATAACATAAGAGGACAGAGTTCTCCTTGTCTTTAATAACATAAGAGGACAGAGAATGATCCTTGTCTTTAATAACATCAGAGAATGATCCTTGTCTTTAATAACATAAGAGGACAGAGTTCTCCTTGTCTTTAATAACATAAAAGGACAGAGTTCTCCTTGTCTTTAATAACATAAGAGGACAGAGAATGATCCTGTCCTAGTATTACTCATCGTATAAAAAGGCAATAAATAGCTATTTATTAAGGGTACTATTCTAACCACAGGAGGTTGATGACACCTTAATTGGGGAGGAAGGGCTCGTGGTAATGGCTGGAGCGGAATTGGTGGAATGGTATCAAATAGATCAAACACATGGTTTGATGCCATTCCATTCGCTCTGTTCCAGCCACTATTAGGAGCCGTCCTCCCCTCAGCAGCCTCCACTGACGCTAACACACAATACATTATATTTCTGTGCCTGTTCTATAGAACTAGAGATAAACTACCCATTCTGTAGATTTTCAGATATAATAAACAAGGGGCCAGAGACAGAAGCTAAAAATAATCACATAAACACAACATTACTCTCGCCCTCCCACACAATGCTATTGGTGCTTTCTCCCTCCCACACGATGCTATTGGTGCTTTCTCCCTCCCACACGATGCTATTGGTGCTTTCTCCCTCCCACACGATGCTATTGGTGCTTTCTCCCTCCCACACGATGCTATTGGTGCACACCAGAGTCGCCATGGTGATCCAGATCCAAGGTGCCATCAACAACAACCTTTCCATAGTTACTCCCCTGGGATGAGACCTTCCTTATCCCCCAGCCTGTGTGTGTGTGTGTGTGTGTGTGTGTGTGTGTGTGTGTGTGTGTGTGTGTGTGTGTGTGTGTGTGTGTGTGTGTGTGTGTGTGTGTGTGTGTGTGTGTGTGTGTGTGTGATCCCTCAGCCTCTACCCGACGGCAGGGGCAGAGCCACACACTGGCCTTGTGCCACCCTGGCACATGGGAGCCCAGTACACACATAAAACACACACTGACTGACTGGCCCCTTTTGCAGCGCACAAACATGTAGCCTACACAGCCTTGTTTTTGTATTATCAGGAAAACAACTGTCGTATCGCGTAAGTGCTGGCAATTATTGCTGATAAACAAAGGAGTCCGCTCATACTGAACTTTGATCATAAGGTTTATTCAGATCACAAGCTTTCAGCATAAGTGACAGGTGACATGCCCACCCGGAGAGCGACGCCTCAGATTGCAATGGCCGCTCTGCCTTCTTCTTCGTTTAGCCCCTACTTATAAACAATGCAAAAAGATGGGTGCTCCCTCTTCTGGCCAATCACCAGTCTCCCCTGTCTACAACACACTTCCTGTCTGTTGTATGTGGCGTTACACTAAAACATTCCCTCTTGATACTAAAATTAACGTCCTCTCCGGTTCCACTTAAAACATTTAACAAAGGCATAATCCTAATACACGACACAACGTTGTAAGCAACAGGGGTAGTAGGGTACACAGAAGAGGCTATAACACAGAAGATGCTGATGTGTTGATGTTGTTTTTCAGAGTGGCTCCTGAACACCCATCGTTATTGTACAGAAGTGTTCATTTTAAAGAGTAGTATGGACTCATGGGATCTCCCCCCTCTCTCTCTCTCTCTGCAGGTCGTTTGGTGTGGTGCTGTGGGAGATGTTGACCGGAGAGGTGCCATATAAAGACGTGGACTCTTCGGCCATCATCTGGGGGGTGGGAAACAACAGCCTGAACCTACCTGTCCCAGAGAGCTGCCCAGACGGCTTCAAAATACTGCTGAGACAGTGCTGGTGAGACGGAGGGAATGGGAGAGAGAGGGAGGGAGGGGAATGGGGAGAGAGAGGGAGGAAGGGGAATGGGAGAGAGAGGGAGGGAGGGGAATGGGAGAGAGAGGGAGGGGAATGGGAGAGAGAGGGAGGGAGGGGAATGGGAGGAGAGGAGGGAGGTAGGGGAATGGGAGAGAGAGGGATGGAGGGGAATGGAAGAGGGAGGGAGGGAGGGGAATGGGAGAGAGGAAGGGAGGGAAATGGGAGAGAGAGGGAGGGAGGGGAATGGGAGAGAGAGGGAGGGAGGGAGGGGAGGTGAATGGCGAGAGAGAGGTGGAGGGGAATGCAGAGAGGGGAGGGAGGGGAGGGAGATGAGGAGGAGAGGGGGGAGGGGAAGAGATTGAAAGAATGACGGATAGGGCATAAAAAGGGTGGGGACAGGGCATGAACATGGGGGTGGAGGACAGGGCATGAACATGGGGGTGGCGGACAGGGCATGAACATGGGGGTGGAGGACAGGGCATGAACATGGGGGTGGAGGACAGGGCATGAACATGGGGGTGGAGGACAGGGCATGAACATGGGGGTGGAGGACGGGTCATGAACATGTCCACCGAATAGAGGAGGAGTTAAGAAATCAGGAGATGTAGATGTTGTACATGTACATTGTAGTTGTATTTAAAGATATGTGTGTCTCTGCCTCCAGGAGCAGTAAGCCCAGGAACAGACCTTCATTCAGACAGATCCTACTGCACCTGGATATCGCCTCAGCGGACCTGCTGTCTACCCCACAGGAGACCTACTTCAAATCTCAGGTACAGTCACATAAGTAAATATGTCTCCCGAGTGGCGCAGTGGTCTAAGGCACTGCATTGCAGTGCTAGCTGTGCCACTAGAGATCCTGGTTCGAATCCAGGCTCTGTCGTAGCCGGCCGCAACCGGGAGACCCATGCGACGGCGCACAATTGGCCCAGCGTCGTCCAGGGTAGGGGAGGGAATGGCCGGCAGGGATGTAGCTCAGTTGGTAGAGCATGGTGTTTGCAACGCCAGGGTTGTGGGTTCGATTCCCACGGGGGGCCAGTATGAAAAAAATATATTAAAAAAGTAATGAATGCACTCACTAACTGTAAGTCGCTCTGGATAAGAGCGTCTGCTAAATGACGTAAATGTAAATAGAACACTAGAATGGACATTGGCATGCTGGCAACATGACTACAGGACAGCCATCTTGAAATTAAACTTTCATTTTAGAGTTATAAACATTTATGACAGTGGTAGTCACTAATATTTCCAAGGTAGCCACTTTTGTAAAACAAAATCCCTGGGCGAGCCGCCACACCCATCGGAGAACAGGGGTTGGACGGGTCACAAAGTCAAATTGATTCAAACATGAAATTAAACAGATTCATACATGATATTTAAGATACTATTAACATGGACCATCAAGCTATTTAATTCTCTGATTCTCTGTTTTAGGACACTTGGGGGTATCAGAAACAAATGTGGAAAATAATTTGATGAATCTTTAGAAGCTGACCTTTTTGCTATTATCTCAATAAAAGTTATAGCACAAGATTTGTCAAATCAGGTCATGTCAAAATTCAATCTGATGGAAGGAAGTATGCTGTGGAGTGATTGAAATGCATCAGAAAGGTATTGAAAAGTTGAGAAAAACATCAGGGATGATCATCAAACAATCTTATGTATGATCGTTTGTGGACAATCAATTCATTTCCCTCAGTTATTCCATGCAGATTCCTCACTCTCCCTACTAACGAGTCCTGCACAGCTTGTTTTATGACTATCCCTGGTTTATGACTATCCTTGGTTTATGACTATCCCTGGTTTATGACTATCCCTGGTTTATGACTATGCCTGGTTTGGTTTTATGATACGCCGGGTTATGGGACTATCCCCTGGTTTATGATATGCTGTTTATGACTATCCTGGTTTATGACTATGCCTGGTATGACTATCCGGTTTCATGGACTATCCCTGGTTTATGATATCCCTGGTTTATGACTATTCCATGGTTATGACTATCCCTGAGTTTATGAATACGCGGTTTATGACTACACCCTGGTTTATGACTATTCCTGGATTATTTGAATACGCCTGGTTATGGACTATCCCGGTTTAGGACTATTCCTGGTTTATGATCGCCAGGTTTATGATTATCCCTGGTTTGTGACTACACCTGGTTTATAACTACGCCTGGTTTATGACTATCCCTAGTTTTTGACTATGCCTGGTTTATGACTATCCCTGGTTTAGTTAGACTTATCCCTGGTTAGACTATCCTGTTTATGACTATGCTGCGGTTTATGACTATTGGCATTGTGGTTTATGGACTATCCCTGAGTTTATGACTACGACTGGGTTTCTTGACTATGCCTGGTTGATGACGATGCTGGGTTATGAACTCTGCCTGGTTTATGACTATCCCTGGTTTATGACTACGCCTTTTTAATGACTACGCCTGGTTTATGACTACGCCTGGTTTATGACTACGCCTGGTTTATGACTACGCCTTTTTATGACTATTGCCTGGTTATGACTAGCCTGGTTTATGGACTATCCTGGATGATTTTACTATCTGGTTTATGACTTAAGCCTGGTTTATGCTATGCCTGGTTTATGATACGCCTGGTTATGACTACACCTGGTTTATGACTTACGCAGGCTTATGGATTTATCCCTTGTTAGACTACGCCTGGTTATGACTATTGCCTGGTTATGGACTACGCCTGAGTTTACGGACTACAACCTGGTTTATGAACGCCAGGATTATGACTATCCCTGGGTTTATGACTATGCTGGTTAATGACTAGCCCTGGTTTATGACAAATCCCTGGTTTATGAAGATCCCTGGGTTTATGACAATCCATGGTTTATGCTATGCCTGGTTTATGCATAGTTGGTGATGACTACGCTGGTTATGACACACCTGTGGTTTATGACTATGCCTGCGTTTATGACTATGCCTGGTTTATGGACTATCCCGGGGTTTCTATGACTACGCCTGGTTTAGGGAATAGGCCTTTTTTATGGACTATGCTGGTTTAGACTATGCTGGTTCATGACTATCCCTGGTTTATTACGCTCCTGGTTTATGCATTATGCCTGGTTTCATGACGACGCTGTTTAATGACACGCCTGGTTTATGACTAACGCTCGGTTATGACATGACGGGTGTATGACTATACTGGTTTATGACAATGCATGGTTTTATGACTAACGATGGTTTATGACTACGCCTGGTTTATGACTATGCCTGTTTCTGGTTTATGACTACGCCCTGGTTTGTATGATACACCTGGTTTATGGACTATTCCGGTCATTGACTATGCCTGGTTAATGACATGCCTGGTTTATGACTATTCCTGGTTCATGACTTCCCTGGTTTATGACTATCATGGTTTATGGGACTACGCCTCGGTTTATGACTACGCCTTTTTAATGACTACGGCCTGGTTATAGACTTACGGCTTTTTTTTGGTTTATGACTTTGCCGGTTTATGACTATTCTGGTTTATGGACTACACCTGGTATGACTTATGCCTGGTTTATGAATACGCCTGGGTTTATGAGACGCCTGGTTTATGACAACACCTGGTTTATGACTATGCCTGGTTTATGACTATCCCTGGTTTATGACTACGCCTGGTTTATGACTATGCTGGTTTTTTATGGACTAGCTGGTTTATGACTACACCTGAGTTTATGACATTTCTGGTCATGACTAGCCTGGTTTATGAAATACGACTGGTTATGATTATCCCTGGTTTGTGACTACGCCTGGTTTATAACTACGCCTGGTTTATGACTATCCTGTTTTGACTATACTGGTTATGACTATCCTGGTTATGAATATCCATGGTTTATGGACTACGGGGGGGGGGGGGGGGGGGGGGGGGCCTGGTTATGACTACGCCTGGTTTATGACTATGATGGTTTACGACTATGCCTGGTTTATGACTATCCCTGGTTTATGACTATGCCCTGGTTTCTGGGATGACGCCTTTTTTAATGACTACGCCTGGTTATGGCCTATCCCTGGTTTATGGGACTACGCCTGGTTATTACTATGCCTGGTTATGACATCCCTGTTTATGACTATTACCTGGTTTTATGGAACTATCCCTGGTTGACTATGCCTGGTTTATGGACTACGGCCTTTTTTAATGATACGGCATGGCGTTTATGACTATCCCTGGTTTATGACTACGCCTGGTTTATTACTGTGCCTGGTTTATGACTATCCCTGGTTTATGACTACGCCAGGATTATGATTATCCCCTGGGTTATGGAGGGGGGGGGGGGGGGGGGTGCGGGGGGGGGGGGGGGGGGGGCTTGCCCTGGTTTATGACTATGCCTTTTTTATGACTATGCCTGGTTTATGACTATGCCTGGTTCATGACTATCCCTGGTTTATTACTATCCCGGGATTATGATTTATGCCTGGTTTAGACACGTGGTTTAGGACTACGGCAGGGTTTATGGACTACGCCTGGTTATGACTACACATGTTTAGGACTATCCCTGGTTTATGACTATTCCTGGTTTATGACTACGCCTGGTTTATGACTACGCCTGGTTTTATGGGACTATTTCCTGAAGTTTATGACTGCATGCTGGTTTATGATACGCTGGTTTATGACTATCCCTGGTTCATGACTATGCCTGGTTAATGACTATCCCTGGTTTATGACTATCCCTGGTTTATGACTATGCTTGGTTTATGACTTTGCCTGGTTTATGACTATGCCTGGTTTATGACTACACCTGGTTTATGACTATGCCTGGTTTATGACTATGCCTGGTTTATGACTATCCTGAGTTATGATAGCCTGGTTTATGACAGAGACCACTCTAGTTATGTAGTTTATCTCTATGAAGAGAGAGTACCGCTCCTACTAAGCCACTAGTAGCTCTCTCTCTCTCACTCAATACCAATTTCCCTTCTGTCTGTCTAGGAAAGATATATGGTGCCTTGTAAAATTACAAGCTGATGGACAAGTGCCCATGCACGCAATTACACAGGCAGTCATATAAGCATGACCCCAAATTAACCACAAACACAGGCAGTTTTTAAGATTCATTCCGTAGGGATGCCCGTTACAAGGCTTCCTGAAAATGGATTGATATAGGGACGCAAATACAAGCGGACACCGGGATTCTGTGTCTGCAATCGATTCCTCCCTAAGAAGAGCGCGAGGAGAGAGAAAGAGAAAAGGAAAGAAGAAGCGAGAGAGGACGCGAGAAAGAGAAGAAGCAAGAAGAAGAGAGAGAGTAGCGAGCCAGAGAGGACGGAAAGAAGCCGAGAGAGGCGCGCGCGCGAGCACGCACGGAACGAAGAAGAGAGAGAGGCGAGCGGAGAGCGAGCGACGGCCAGAAGAAGAGACGAGCGGCGAGAGAGAGCGGCGCACGAGAAGACGACGCGAGCGGCGAGAGAACGAGCGGACGGGCACGAAGAAGACGAGGGGGGAAGCGGAAGAGAAAGAGAAGAGGAAGACAAGCGCTGAACCACCTAGAGGTGAGGGAGACGGCGCGGCAAAACCGCAAGAACACAGACTGAAACAGACTGTCTGGGAGTTCCTTTTCCACCCTCCCCCTCTCACCTCTCATAATGGATTTTTCTTGTTGACGGCAGCAAGAAAGTTTAGCTGCTACAGTCTATACTATTGATTGCGTTAATGTGGAGGAGAGGCAGGGCGAAGGGGGGGGAGGGAGAGGACGAGGAAGAGGAGGGAGAGGAGAGGATGAGGGGGAGGAGAGGGGAGAGGAGAGGAGAGAACGGGAGAGGAGAGAGAGGAGAGGAGAGGAGAGGAGAGGAGAGGAGAGAGAGGAGAGAGAGGAGTGGAGAGGAGAGGAGGATGGGAAGAGAGGAGGAGGGGAGGGAGGAGAGGAGGATGGGAGGACGAGGAGCGAGAGGAAGGGAGGAACGAGGAGGAGAAGGGGGCGAGAGGCGGAGGAGAGGAGGAGGGAGGAGAGGAGGAGCGAAGAGGAGAGGAGCGATGGGAACAAAGGAGAGGGGGAGGAGAGGAGATGGGAGGCGAGGAAGATAGGAGGAGGGGCGGGGAGGAGAGGGCGAGGAAGAGAGGAGGGAGAAGTGAGGAGAGGAGGAGGGGAGGAGGAGGAGGAGAAGGGGAGGAGAGGAGGATGGGAAAGAGGAGAGGAGGAGAGGAGGAGGGAAGAGAGGAGAGGAAGATAGGAGGAGGGTGAGGGGAGGGAGAGGGAGGGAAGGAGAGAGGAGGGGAGGAGAGGAGAGGAAGGGAGAGGAGAGGAGGAGGAGAGGGAGAGGCAGAGAGATAGAAGGAGAGGAGCATGAAGGAGAGTAGGAGGAGAGGGAGGAGAGGAGGGAGAGGAGAGGAAGAGGAGGAGAGGAGAGGAGGAGGAGAGAGAAGAGGAGGGATGAGGGATGAGAGGAGGAGGGGGGATGGGAGGAGAGGAGAGGAAAGAGGAGGATGGGAAGAGAGGGAGGAGGGGGAGGGGAGGAGGATGCGTAGGAGAGGATGAGGAGGAGGGGAGGAGAGGAGAGGGGGATGAGAATAGAGAGGAGAGGAGGGGAGGAGGGGGGATGGAAAGGGGGGGGGAGGAGGGGGAGGAGAGGAGAAGAAGGATGTGAGAAGAAGCAGGGAGGAGGAGGACGAGGAGAGCGAGGAGAGGAGGATGAGAGGCAGGGAGAGGAGAGGGAGGAAGAAGGGAGGAGAGGAGAGGGCAGGGACGGAGGTGGGGGACAAGAGGAGAGGAGGAGAGGAGGGATGGGAGGAGAGAGAAGATAGGGGAGGGGGAGGGAGTGAGAGGAAGATAGGAGGAGGGGGAGGGGAGGGGAGGAGGGAGAGGAAGAGAGGAGGAGAAGGGAGGAGAGGAGGATGGGAGGAGAGGAGGAGAAGGGAGGAGAGGACGGAGGGGACAAGAGGACGAGGAGGAGAGGGAGGATGGGAAGAGAGGAGAGGAAGTCAGGAGGAGGGGAGGAAGAGGAGAGGAGAGGAGGGAGAGGAGGGGAGAGGAGAGGCGGAGAGGACGAGGCGGAGGAAGGAGGAGAGGAGAGGAGAGGAGAGGAAGAGGAGAGGAGAGGAGGGAGAGGAGAGGAGAGGAGAGGAGAGGAAGGATGGGATGAGAGAGAAGGAGAGGAGGAGAGGAGAGGAAGAGGAGACGAGGAGGATGGAGGAGAGGACGAGGAGGATGGGAGGGAGGGGAGGAGGGAGGGAAGAGGATGGGAAGAGAGAGAGGAGGATGGGGAGGGAGGAGGATGTCAGGAGAGGAGAGAGGAGGGTGAGGAGAGGAGAGGAAGAGAGGAGAGGAGGGGAGGAGAGGCGGAGGGGGATGGAAGGGGATGAGGGGAGGAGAGGAGAAGAGGAGAGAAGAAGCAGGGAGGAGGAGGAGAGGAGAGAGGAGGAGGAGAGGCAGGGAGGAGAGGAGGAGAGGCAGGGAGGAGAGGAGAGGCAGGGAGGAGAGGAGGAGAGGCAGGGAGGAGAGGCAGGGAGGAGGGGAGAGGCAGGGGGAGAAGCAGGGAGGAGAGGAAGGGAGAGGAGAGGGCGGAGAGGCAGGGAGGAGAGGGATGACTGCAGGCAGAGCAGAGTGCTCTCAAACTCCATTAGCTTAATAACAAGAGCCATACACACACACAAACACACACACACTCTATTAAAAACCCTTCTGTCCTTGGACAAGACATACAGCAGCTAAAGAGGCACTGGTCAAAGTCAGATTGGTACACAGGCAGGAAAATGTCCACGGTGTCCTTTCTTTCAGAATGTGTTCTGAGATGCTCTGTGACATGGATTCGTTTTGACTGACACACATGGTATGTCTATGCTGGTGTCTAACTGTTATTATGACTGACACTATGATCTGTGTTGTTGTGTTTTAACTGACACGCCGTCTGTTGCTGTGTCTGTGTTGCAGGCAGAGTGGCGTGAGGAGGTGAAGCAACACTTTGAGAAGATCAAGTCAGAGGGGACGTGTATACACAGACTGGACGAGGAGATGATCATTCGACGCAAAGAGGAGCTCAGGTACAGGGAGAGTGTTATGGATGGATGGATGGATGGATGGATGGATGGGTGGATGGGTGGATGGATGGATGGATGGATGGATGGATGGATGGATGGATGGATGGATGGATGGATGGATGGATGAATTAATATTTAAGTGAGTGAGTTAGTGAGGGAGGGAGGGAGGGAGTGAATGAACATACAGAAAGAATCCTACAATAGATACATAAATACTGTACAGACTGACAGTAAATGAATAGCTAGCTGTACTGTACTGTGTGTGTGTATTAACCCTGTCTGTCCCGTTGGCTTTCTCTCTCCCTCTCTACCAGACACGCCCTGGACATCCGTGAGCACTACGAGAGGAAGCTGGAGAGAGCCAACAACCTCTACATGGAGCTCAACGCTGTCATGCTGCAGCTGGAACTCAAGGAGAAAGAGCTACTCAAGTAATAATCCTAGTTATTGTTCCTTACACACAATATCCACCTTGAAGCTCTCGACCCGCTCCACTGCAGCCACGTCGATGTGGATGGGGGCGTGCTCGTCCCCCCGTTTCCTGTAGTCCACCATCAGCTCCTTGGTCTTTACTGACGTTGAGGGAGAGGTTGTTATCCAGGCACCACACTGCCAGGTCACTGACCTCCTCCCTATAGGCTGTCTCATCGTCACCAGGTCACTGACCTCCTCCCTATAGGCTGTCTCATCGTCACCAGGTCACTGACCTCCTCCCTGTAGGCTGTCTCATCGTCACCAGTGATCAGGTCACTGACCTCCTCCCTATAGGCTGTCTCATCGTCACCAGGTCACTGACCTCCTCCCTGTAGGCTGTCTCATCGTCACCAGTGATCAGGTCACTGACCTCCTCCCTGTAGGCTGTCTCATCGTCACCAGTGATCAGATCACTGACCTCCTCCCTATAGGCTGTCTCATCGTCACCAGTGATCAGATCACTGACCTCCTCCCTATAGGCTGTCTCATCGTCACCAGGTCACTGACCTCCTCCCTGTAGGCTGTCTCATCGTCACCAGTGATCAGGGCCTACCACCATCATGTCATCAGCAAACTTGATGATGGTGTCGGAGTCCTGCGTGGCCACACAATCGTGGGTGAACAGGGAGTACAGGAAGGGACTGAGGACACACCCCTGAGGGTCAGAGTGGCGGAGGTGATGTTACCCACCCTCACCACCTGGGGGCGGCCCGTCAGGAAGTCCAGGATCCAGTTGCAGAGGGAAGTGTACAATCCCAGGGTCCTAAGCTTGGTGACGAGCTTGGAGGGGACAATGGCGTTGAAGGCTTAGCTGTAGTCCATGAACAGCATTGTGAGCTTTTGTGAAAGAGCACAGTTAAAAAGATATGGCATATAGAAGCATACCAGATGGACAACATGAAAACGATCGGAGGAAGTTCAGGAGTAAAAACAAACAAAATATAATGATTGACTGTGTCCATAAAATGTATATAGTATGTATAAGCATGAAGTAGAGGCCTAAGCGTTGTTGTTCACTAGTTTACTCCAATTAGGGAAGGGATGGTGGGGTTGGAAAGTAATAAAGGGAAATATATATATTTTTAAAGGATATGTATGTATATGCGTATATGTATGTATATGCGTATATGTATGTATGTGTATATATATATATGCAAGACAAAAAGAAGAAAAAACCTATGGGGGATTGGAAGTGATGCAGACAATTACATTGATGGAAGTTACAATCTATCTGCAATATTAAAGCTGATCAACCCCCTAAAAAATATATATATATATATAAAAATAAAAATGAACAGCATTGTCCAAATCACAAAGGACTTAAAATGGTCCACTCACACGCGTACAGTCGTGAAGAACAGCGCCTCTTCCCCCTCAAAAAGTTCTACAGCTGCACCATTGAGAGGATCTTCACTTGCTGCATCACTGTTTGGTATGGCAACAGCACCGCCCTCGATTGCATGGTGCTACAGAGGGTGGTGCGGACAGCCGAGTACATCACTGGGGCCAAGCTCTCTGCCATCCAGCACCTCTATATCAGGCGGTGTGAAAGGCAGGCCCGGAAAATCGTAAAGACTCCAGCCACCCAAGCCTTCTTAGACTGTTCTCTCTGCTTCCGCACGGCAAGGGGTACCGGTGCATCACGTTTGACACCAACAGGCTACTGAACAGCCTCTATCCCCAAGCTATAAGACTGCTAAATAGCTAACTAAATAGCTAACTAAATAGCTAACAGAATGACTACATGGACTATCTGAGTTGACCCTTTTATTTGATTTTTACACTGTCTCAATGCACACTCACAGGGCCCTACACACTCACACACACACACACACACACTGACACTCCAACACACACATAACATGCACACACATTTATACTGACTCTACATACACACATACAATCATCATTTAAGCTGCTGTTTATCATACATCCTGATGTCTAGTCACCTTACCCCTATATATACCTACCTCCATCACTCCAGTGTCCCTGCACATTGTAAATATGGTACTGGAACTGACCCTGTATATAGTCACCTTACCCCTATACATATCTACCTCTATCACTCCAGTGTCCCTGCACATTGTAAACATGCTATTGGAACTGACCCTGTATATAGTCACCTTACCCCTATATATACCTACCTCCATCACTCCAGTGTCCCTGCACATTGTAAATATGGTACTGGAAACTGACCCTGTATATAGTCACCTTACCCCTATACATATCTACCTCTATCACTCCAGTGTCCCTGCACATTGTAAACATGCTATTGGAACTGACCCTGTATATAGTCACCTTACCCCTATATATACCTACCTCCATCACTCCAGTGTCCCTGCACATTGTAAATATGCTACTGGAACTGACCCTGTGTGTAGCTTCTTACTTTCTCATGTTTTTATTTCTCATGTTTATATCTGGTGTGTTTTTGTTTCTACCGTATGTTCTTTTATAGTCCTACATTGATATTGATTACTGCATTGTTGGGTTTTGAGTTTGCAAGAAAGGCAATTTCACTGTACTTGAAACTTGTGTATACAATGCTCATCGTCATCTGCCACATAGAGGAGAGGGAATAACAGACATAATATGTAATAACAACAATATGTTTATTTATTGTGGCTTAGAAATTAATTAACGAACAAACTAACAAAATGATGTTGTGTGTGTGTGTGTGTGTTACCCAGGAGGGAGCAGTCACTGGATAAGAAGTACCCAGGATGCATCAAACACCACAGCTCCAGACAAGAACGCTCGTCCAACTCCATGGAGAAGCTCATCAAGAAACGCAACGTACCTCAGAAACTTCCCTCGCACAGCAAGAGGTGAGACTGAGGAGGGAGAAACCAATGAAACATTCACACTTCTCACTAATTTGTCACGATTTGTTGTTCAATCCATGTCAGTATAGTTATGATTACTAAAATACATTGTGGTAACACTAACAGGGCATAAAGTTATAATCTAGTATGACTTGTTATAGGCATGTACAAAGTCCTCACTGTTGATAGTTTCTTTGGACACAAGGGGAAATGGAACGGCTGCATCCATTTCTCTTGACTTTACATTTTAGTCATTTAGCAGATCTCTTATCCAGAGCAACTTACAGTTGGTGCATTCATCTTAAGATAGCACCTTTTTTTTCTAAGATTGTAGCATATATAGAACCTAAAAGGGTTCTTCGGATGTCCCCATAGGAGAACCCTTTGAAGAATCCTTTTTGGTTCCAGGTAGAACCTTTTTGAATTCCATGTAGAACCCTTTCCATAGAGGGTTCTACATGGAACCAAAAAATAGTCCTACCTGGAACCAAAAAGGGTTCTACCTGGAACCAAAATGGGTTCTCCTATGGGGACAGCTGAAGAACTCCCTTTGGAACCCTTTCTTGTAAGAGTGTAGGTGGGACAACCACATATCTTAGTCATAGTAAGTACATTTTTTCTTCAATAAAATAGCTATCAGCAAAGTCAGAGCTAGTAAGGCAGACAACTTGACTGACTTTATTGAGCCATGCTCAGTGTACTCCCTGTGACTCCACTGTGTTGTTCCAGTAGACCAGACCTATTGAAGTCAGAGGTGATCCTTCCCAAGCTGGACTCCTCCATGACCCAGGTGACCATCCCCTCCTGCCCCCAGAAGGGCTCCACGTCCCCGGGGAGGTCGCGTCGGGCCAAGCCCCGCTACCGGAAGGCAGGGAAGGGCAGCAGTGGAGACCTGGCTGGGCTGAAGGCTGCGTTATCATCCACACTGGGTCTGGCTAATACTACATCTCTGACCAACACCACCTCCACACCCAGGTATTTATGTTGACATGTCTCCCTACTGGATGTGTAGTTGGATGAATTGTTTTATATAAGAAATATATATCAATGTTTTATTCTCACTGTGTCCAGTCTGTCACTATCTCAATTAATCCTTCCTGGATTCCTAACATCCTCTGTCCTTGCCTTCTTCTCAAAACCCATGAGAGAAGAAGGTCGAAGGGGAGGGCCCCGTCTACTGTACTATCTCCTCCAATACAATTGAGAAGAATGCGAGGAATCGCAAAACGACAAATTGAGATAGAGCCAGAGTGTAATTTTGCTGCAACCAAATCGCCCCTTCAGAGCCCACAATAAAGTTGTATTCTCCCCCCCCCCCCCAGCAGCAAGCAGCACCTGGACCCCAGCGCAGCTCTGAGAGGTCTGCAGCATGACCTGCTGCTGAAGAAGATGTCCTCGTCCAGCCCAGACCTCATCTCTACCACCATGGAGGCAGAGGACCGCCGCAGGGGACTGGAGAGACCTGGTCTGGAGAGAGGGGGCAGCCAGAGCGCCTCGGCAGGCCTGGGAGGAGGTGAATTAAAATGTATAATATTGTCCGATAGGGAAATTTGTATAAAGTGCGTTCGGGAAGTATTCAGACCCCTTGACTTTTTCCACATTTTGTTACGTTACAACCTTATTCTAAAAATGATTAAATTAATTATTTTCCTCATCAATCTACACACAATACAGGTTTTTAGAAAGTTTTGCAAATGTATTAAAAATAAAAAACAGAAATACCTTATTTACATAAGTATTCAGACCCTTTGCTTTGAGACTCGAAATTGAGCTCAGGTGCATCCCGTTTCCATTGATCATCCTTGAGAGGTTTTCTACAACTTGATTGGAGTCCACCTGTGGTAAATTCAATTGATTGGACATGATTTGGAAAGGCACACACCTGTCTATTTAAGGTCCCAGAGTTGACAGTGCATGTCAGAGCAAAAACCAAGCCATGAGGTCGAAGGAATTGTCCGTAGAGCTCCGACACAGGATTGTGTCAAGTCACAGATCTGGGGAAGGGGACCGAAACATTTCTGCAGCATTGAAGGTCCTCAAGAACACAGTGGCCTCCATACTTAAATGGAAGAGCTAGAGACACTCCTAGAGCTGGGGAGAAGGGCCTTGGTCAGGGAGGTGACCAAGAACCCGATGGTCACTCTGACAGAGCTCCAGAGTTCCTCTGTGGAGGTGGGAGAACCTTCCAGAAGGACAACCATCTCTGCAGCACTCCACCAATCAGGCCTTTATGGTAGAGTGGTCAGACGGAAGCCACTCATCAGTAAAAGGCACATGACAGCCCGTTTGGAGTTTGCCAAAAGGCACCTAAAGGACTCTCAGACCATGAGAAACAAGATTCTCTGGTCTGATGAAACCAAGATTGAACTCTTAGGCCTGAATGCCAAGCGTCACGTCTGGAGGAAACCTGGCACCATCCCTACGGTGAAGCATGGTGGTGGCAGCATCATGCTGTGGGGATGTTTTTCAGCGGCAGGGACTGGGAGACTAGTCAGGATGCACATCCTCTCCCACACCAGGCAGACTGCTTGGCTGCGCTCGACGGAAACGCACTCTTCAGCACAATGGATCTCACCTCTGGGTTCTATAACATGCCACTGCACGAAGATGACAGAAGGTATTCTGCCTTCACAACACCTATGGGGCTCTTTGAATACAACCGTCTACCTCAGGGTCTCTGTATGCCGCATTGGAGGTCCCCAAGAACACAGTGGCCTCCATCATTCTTAAATGGAAGAAGTTTGGAACCACCAAGATTCTTCATAGAGCTGGCCGCCCGGCCAAACTGTGCAATCGGAGGAGAAGGGCCTTGATCAGGGAGGTGACCAAGAACCCGATGATCACTCTGACAGAGCTCTAGAGTTCCTCTGTGGAGATGGGAGAACCTTCCAGAAGGACAACCATCTCTGCAGCACTCCACCAATCAGGCCTTTATGGGAGAGTGGCCAGACGGAAGCCACTCCTCGGTAAAAGGCACATGACAGCCCACTTGGAGTTTGCCAAAAGGCACCTAAAGGACTCAGACCATGAGAAACAAGATTCTCTGGTCTGATGAAACCAAGATCGAACTCTTTGGCCTGAATGCCAAGCGTCACGTCTGAAGGAAACCTGGCACCATCCCTACGGTGAAGCAATAGTGGTGGCAGCATCATACTGTGGAGACTAGTCAGGATCGAGGGAAATTTCTAAAAACCTGTTTTTGCTTTGTCATGATGGGGTATTGTGTGTAGATTGACGAGGGGAAAAAACAATTTAATCAATTTTAGAATAAGGCTGTAACGTAACAAAAATGTGGAAAAAGTCAGGGGTCTGAATATTTCCGAATGCACTGAATACAGGGATACCTGGCATACATTTAAGGCTGGTTTCCCATACACAGATAAAGACTACATTTTAAGATATTTCTGTGTCGGGGAAACCAGCCCATAATGTATCATATAGATAGTCACAGGACATACAGTGAGGGAAAAAAGTATTTGATCCCCTGCTGATTTTGTACGTTTGCCCACTGACAAAGACATGATCAGTCTATAATTTTAATGGTAGGTTTATTTGAACAGTGAGAGACAGAATAACAACAAAACAATCCAGAAAAACGCATGTCAAAAATGTTATAAAGTGATTTGCATTTTAATGAGGGAAATAGGTATTTGACCCCTCTGCAAAACATGACTTAGTACTTGGTGGCAAAACCCTTGTTGGCAATCACAGATGTCAGACGTTTATTGTAGTTGGCCACCAGGTTTGCACACATCTCAGGAGGGATTTTGTCCCACTCCTCTTTGCAGATCTTCTCCAATTCATTAAGGTTTCGAGCCTGACGTTTAGCAACTCAAACCTTCAGCTCCCTCCACAGATTGTCTATGGGATTAAGGTCTGGAGTCTGGCTAGGCCACTCCAGGACCTTAATATGCTTCTTCTTGAGCCACTCCTTTGTTTCCTTGGCCGTGTGTTTTGGGTCATTGTCATGATGGAATACCCATCCACGACCCATTTTCAATGCCCTGGCTGAGGGAAGGAGGTTCTCACCCAAGATTTGACGGTACATGGCCCCGTCCATCGTCCCTTTGATGCGGTGAAGTTGTCCTGTCCCCTTAGCTGAAAAACACCCCCAAAGCATAATGTTTCCACCTCCATGTTTGACGGTGGGGATGGTGTTCTTGGGGGTCATAGGTAGCATTCCTCCTCCTCCAAACACGGCGAGTTGATGCCAAAGAGCTCGATTTTGGTCTCATCTGACCACAACACTTTCACCCAGTTCTCCTCTGAATCATTCAGATGTTCATTGGGAAAGTTCAGACGGGCCTGTATATGTGCTTTCTTTAGCAGAGGGACCTTGCGGGCGCTGCAGGATTTCAGTCCTTCACGGCGTAGTGTGTTACCAATTGTTTTCTTGGTGACTATGTTCCCAGCTGCCTTGAGATCATTGACAAGATCCTCCCGTGTAGTCTGGGCTGATTCCTCACCGTTCTCATGATCATTGCAACTCCACGAGGTGAGATCTTGCATGGAGCCCCAGGCCGAGGGAGATTGACAGTTATTTTGTGTTTCTTCCATTTGCGAATAATCGCACCAACTGTTGTCACCTTCTCACCAAGCTGCTTGGCGATGGTCTTGTAGCCAATTCCAGCCTTGTGTAGGTCTACAATCTTGTCCCTGACATCATTGGAGAGCTCTTTGGTCTTGGCCATGGTGTAGAGTTTGGAATCTGATTGATTGCTTCTGTGGACAGGTGTCTTTTATACAGGTAACAAACTGAGATTAGGAGCACTCCCTTTAAGAGTGTGCTCCTAATCTCACCTCGTTACCTGTATAAAAGACACCTGGCAGCCAGAAATCTTTCTGATTGAGACGGGGTCAAATACTTATTTCCCTCATTAAAATGCAAATCAATTTATAAAATTTTTGACATGCATTTTTCTGGATTTTGTTGTTGTTATTCTGTCTCTCACTGTTCAAATAAACCTACAAAATGATAGACTGATAATTTCTTTGTCAGTGGGCAAACTTACAAAATCAGCAGGGGATCAAATACTTTTTTCCCCTCACTGTACATCACAAGACACGATGAGTCAAACATACATAAATAAATGTAGTGCAAATAAATATTGTGCATATAACTACAGTGCAAATAAATATAGTGTAAATAAATATAGTGCAAATAAATATAGTGTAAATACAGTCAGTTATGGTTTACAGTCTTCTGTATTTAGGAAACTAGGAAACTGATGCTGGTTGGTGAATGACTTACAGGTGGAGGAGGAGGTGATGGAGGAGGAAGAGAAGGAGGAGGGACGGAGGATGGAGGGGTGGGGACAGATGACCAAACAGAGACCCCACCGCGTAGCAACACCCCCAGCGAGGACGCGGTCTCCATCCCGTTCTCCAGCAGCCCAGACTCCCCCTGTGGGAGGGGGGCAGCGGCAGGGAGGGGATCGGTGCTGGGAGGCCCAGGAAGGTTACTTCAGGACGGGGAGGGACAAGGAGGAGGGCACAGGGATCATCAGGTCACCCAGGAGCCAACACCTCACACCTGCAGCACTGCTCTACCGGAAAACAAGTCACCACGCAAACAGGTAGTGATCAGTAGTAGGGCAAGATGGATGGCATCTGGTGGCTTTACTATACTAACTAAACTAGAGTTAGGAGATTATCCTGACCAGTTCTACTAACTAACCTGGAGTTAGGAGATATCCTGATCAGTTTCTACTAACTAACCTGGAGTTAGGAGATTCTCCTGATCAGTTTTACTAACTAACCTGGAGTTAGGAGATTCTCCTGACCAGTTCTACTAACTAACCTAGAGTTAGGAGATTTTCCTGACCAGTTCTACTAACTAACCTAGAGTTAGGAGATTCTCCTGACCAGTTCTACTAACTAAACTAGAGTTAGGAGATTCTCCTGACCAGTTCTACTAACTAACTGGAGTTAGGATATTCTCTGACCAGTTTCTACTAACTAACCTGGAGTTAGGAGATTTCTCCTGACCAGTTCTACTAACTAACCTAGAGTTAGAGGATTCTCCTGGCTAGTTCTACTAACTAACCTAGAACCAAGAGATTCTCCTGACCAATTCTACTAACTAACCTAGAGTTAGGAGATTCTCCTGACCAGTTCTACTAACTAATCTAGAGTTAGGAGATTCTCCTGACCAGTTCTACTAACTAAACTAGAGTTAGGAGATTCTCCTGACCAGTTATACTAACTAACCTGGAGTTAGGAGATTCCCTGACCAGTTCTACTATCTAACCTAGAGTTAGAGGATTCTCCTGATCATTCTACTAACTAACCTAGAACCAAGAGATTCTCCTGACCAGTTTCTACTAACTAACCTGGAGTTAGGAGATTCTCCTGACCAGTTCTACTAACTAACCTGGAGTTAGAGATTCTCCTGACCAGTTCTACTAAATAACTGGAGTTAGGAGATTCTCCTGACCAGTTTCTACTAAACTAACCTGGAGTTAGAGATTCTCCTGACCAGTTCTACTAACTAAAATAGAGTTAGGAGATTCTCCTGTACAGTTCTACTAACTAACTAGAGTTAGGAGATTCTCCGACCAGTTCTACTAACTAAACTAGAGTTAGGAGATTCTCCTGAACCAGTTCTACTAACTAACCTGGAGTTAGGAGATTCTCCTGACCAGTTCTACTAACTAACCTGGATTAGGAGATTCTCCTGACCAGTTCTACTACACTAGAGTTAAAGATTCTCCTGGCTAGTTCTACTAACTACCTAGAACCAAGAGATTCTCCTGACCAAGTTCTACGTAACTACCTAGAGTTAGGAGATTCTCCTGACCAGTTCTACTAACTAATCTAGAGTTAGGAGATTCTCCTGACCAGTTCTAACTAACTAAACTAGAGTTAGGAGATTTCCTGACCAGTTATACTAACTACCTGGAGTTAGGAGATTCTCCTGACCAGTTCTACTATCTAACCTAGAGTTAGAAGATTTTCCTGATTCAGTTCTACTAACTACCTCAGACCAAGAGATTTACTGACCAGTGATAACTAACCTGGGAGAGTTAGGGGATTCTCAGGACCAGTTCTACGAACTAACCTGGAGTTAGGAGATTCTCCTGACAGTTTCAACTAAACCTGGATGTTAGGAGTTCTCCTGGGCCAGTTCTACTAAACTAACCTGGAGTTAGGAGATTATCTGTCAGTTCTACTAACTAACCTGGAGTTAAGGAGATTTCCTGACCAGTCTACTACTAAACTAGAGTTAGGAATTCTCCTGACCAGTTCTACTAACTAACTGGGTTAGGGATTATCCTGGACAGTTCTATACTAACTAGAGTTAGAGATTCTCCTGACCAGTTTACTAACTAACCTAGAGTTAGGAGATTCTCCTGACCAGTTCTACTTAACTAAATAGGTTAGGAGATTTCTCTGACCAGTTCTACTATCAACCTAGAGTTAGAAGATTCTCCTGATCCGTTCTACTAAACTAACCTAGAACCAAGCGATTCTCCGACCAGTTCTATAACGTAACTGGAGTTGGAGATTCTCCTGACCAGTTCTACTAAAACTAACACTGGAGTTAGGAGATTTCCTGACAGTTCTATAACTAACCTGGAGTTAGGAGATTTTCTCCTGGCCAGTTCTACTAACTAACCTGGAGTTAGGAGATTCTCCTGACAGTTTACTAATAAAACTAGCGTAGGGATTAGCTGACCGTTCTACTAACAAACCTAGAGTTAGGGAGATTCTCCTGACCAGTTCTACTACTAAACTAGAGTTAGGCGATTCTCCTGCCAGTTCTACTAACTAAAACCTGGATTAGACGATTCTCCGACAGTTTTACTAAACTAACCTAGGTGAGGAAGATTCTACATGGCTAGTTCTTCCTAACTACACCTAGAAACCAAGAGATTCAATGACCAATTCTACTACTAACCTAGGTTTAGGAGATTCTCCTGACAGTTCTTACTAACTTAAACTAGAGTTAGGAGATTCTCCTGACCAGTTATACTAACTAACCTGGAGTTAGGAGATTCTCCTGACCAGTTCTACTATCTAACCTAGAGTTAGAAGATTCTCCTGATCAGTTCTACTAACTAACCTAGAACCAAGAGATTCTACCTGACCAGTTCTACTAACTAACCTGGAGTTAGGAGATTCTCCTGACCAGTTCTACTAACTAACCTGGAGTTAGGAGATTCTCCTGACCAGTTCTACTAACTAACCTGGAGTTAGGAGATTTCCCTGGCAGTTTCTACTAAACTAACCTGGAGTTAGGAGATTATCCTGATCAGTTCTACTAACTAACCTGGAGTTAGGAGATTCTCCTGACCAGTTTCTACTAACTAAACTAGAGTTAGGAGATTCTCCTGACCAGTTTCGACTAACTAACCTGGAGTTAGGAGATTATCCTGACCAGTTTCTACTAACTAAACTAGAGTTAGGAGATTCTCCTGACAGTTCTACTAACTATAGGGATTCTCCCTGACCAGTTCTACTAACTAAACTAGATGTTAGGAGATTCTCCTGACCAGTTCTACTAACTAACCTGGAGTTTAGGGAGTACTCCTGACCAGTTTCTACTAACTAAACCTAGAGTTAGAAGATTTCTCCTGCTAGTTCTACTAACTAACCTAGAACCAAGATATTCTCCTGACCATTCTACTAACTAACCTAGAGTTTAGGAGATTCTCCTGACCAGTTCTACTAACTAATCTAGAGTTAGGAGATCTCCTGACCAGTTTATACTAACTAACCTGGAGTTAGGAGATTCTCCTGACCAGTTTCTACTATCTAACCTAGAGTTAGAAGATTCTCCTGATCAGTTCTACTAACTAAACCTAGAACCAAGAATTCTCCTGACCAGTTCTACTAACAACCTGGAGTTAGGAGATTCTCCTGACCATTTCTACTAACTAACCTGGAGTTAGGGAGATTCTCCTGACCAGTTTCTACTAACTAAACCTGGAGTTAGGAGATTCCCTGGCCAGTTTACTTAAAACTAAACCTGGAGTTAGGAGATTATCATGATAAGTTCTACTACTCAACCTGGAGGTTAGGAGATTCTCATGACCAGTTCTACTAACTAAACTAGAGTTAGGAGATTATCATGACCAGTTCTACCAGCTAAACTAACCTGGAGTTAGGGGAGATATCCTGAACCAGTTCTACTAACTAACTAGATTTGGAGATTCTCCTGATCAGTTCTACTAAACTAACCTAGAACCAGAGATTTCTCCTGACCAGTTCTACTAACTAACCTAGAGTTAGGAGATTCTCCTGATCAGTTCTACTAAACTAACCTGGAGTAGAGAGATTCTCCTGACCAGTTCTACTAACAAACCTAGAGTTAGGAGCTTCTCCTGACCAGTTATCTTAACTAACCTCGAGTTAGGAGATTCTCTGACCAGTCTACTAAACTAACATAGAGTTAGGAGATTCTCCTGCCCAGTTCTTTTCTACTAACTAACCTGGAGTTAGGAGATTCTCCTGACCAGTTCTACTAACTAACCGAGAGTCAGGCCCAATAAATAGCCTAGAAAACTGGTAGTGATTCCTCTTATCTTCCCTTTACTTCTGCAGAGACTGGTGTGTCCTCCGAGGAGGAGGAGGGAGAGGTGGACAGTGAGGTGGAGTTACCACGGAGACGGTAAGAATATACATCTTATACATGATACAGTATATAGTCATGATTCATTATACAGTATATAGTCATGATTAATTATACAGTATATAGTCATGAATCATTATACAGTATATGGTCATGATTCTATAGTAGTACAGTGAGGGAAAAAAGTATTTGATCCCCTGCTGATTTTCTACGTTTGCCCACTGACAAAGAAATGATCTGTCTGTAATTTTAATGGTAGGTTTATTTGACCAGTGAGAGACAGAATAACAACAAAAAAATCCAGAAAAACGCATGTCTTAAATGTTATAAATTGATTTGCATTTTAATGAGGGAAATAAGTATTTGACCCCCTCTCAATCAGAAAGATTTCTGGCTCCCAGATGTCTTTTATACAGGTAACGAGCTGAGTTTAGGAGCACACTCTTAAATGGAGTGCTCCTAATCTCAATTTGTTACCTGTATAAAAGACACCTGTCCACAGAAGCAATCAATCAATCAGATTCCAAACTCTCCACCATGGCCAAGACCAAAGAGCTCTCCAAAGATGTCAGGGACAAGATTGTAGACCTACACAAGGCTGGAATGGGCTACAAGACCATCGCCAAGCAGCTTGGTGAGAAGGTGACAACAGTTGGTGCGATTTTTCACAAATTGAAGAAACACAAAAGAACTGTCAATCTCCCTCGGCCTGGGGCTCCATGCAAGATCTCACCTCGTGGAGTTGCAATGATCATGAGAACGGTGAGGAATCAGCCCAGAACTACACGGGAGGATCTTGTCAATGATCTCAAGGCAGCTGGGACCATAGTCACCAAGAAAACAATTGGTAACACACTATGCCGTGAAGGACTGAAATCCTGCAGCGCCCGCAAGGTCCCCCTGCTCAAGAAACCACATATACATGCCCGTCTGAAGTTTGCCAATGAACATCTGAATGATTCAGAGGAGAACTGGGTGAAAGTGTTGTGGTCAGATGAGACCAAAATTGAGCTATTTGGCATCAACTCAACTCGCCGTGTTTGGAGGAGGAGGAATGCTGCCTATGACCCCAAGAACACCATCCCCACCGTCAAACATGGAGGTGGAAACATTATGCTTTGGGGGTGTTTTTCTGCTAAGGGGACAGGACAACTTCACCGCATCAAAGGGACGATGGACGGGGCCATGTACCGTCAAATCTTGGGTGAGAAACCTCCTTCCCTCAGCCAGGGCATTGAAAATGGGTTGTGGATGGGTATTCCAGCATGACAATGACCCAAAACACACAGCCAAGGCAACAAAGGAGTTGGCTCAAGAAGAAGCACATTAAGGTCCTGGAGTGGCCTAGCCAGTCTCCAGACCTTAATCCCATAGAAAATCTGTGGAGGGAGCTGAAGGTTCGAGTTGCCAAACGTCAGCCTGGAAACCTTAATGACTTGGAGAAGATCTGCAAAGAGGAGTGGGACAAAATCCCTCCTGAGATGTTTGCAAACCTGGTGGCCAACTACAAGAAACGTCTGACCTCTGTGATTGCCAACAAGGGTTTTTCCACCAAGTACTAAGTCATGTTTTGCAGAGGGGTCAAATACTTATTTCCCTCATTAAAATGCAAATCAATTTATAACATTTTTGACATGCGTTTTTCAGGATTTTTTTGTTGTTATTCTGTCTCTCACTGTTCAAATAAACCTACCATTAAAATTATAGACTGATCATTTCTTTGTCAGTGGGCAAACGTACAAAATCAGCAGGGGATCAAATACTTTTTTCCCTCACTGTATATAGTCATGATTCATTATACAGTATATAGTCATGATTCATTATACATTATATAGTCATGATTGTATACTAGTACTTGTCCAGCAGAAAGAACGTCTTGGTATAATCCAAATAGCGTTTGTGTCTGTGAGAGCCCAATGATTTCATCTATGTCCTGTACCTTTTTTCTTCCCCATGCAGTCGACCGTTGAGCATCACCAAGTGCCAGTCCCTGTCCACCTTCAGCTCTGAGAACCTGTCTGCCGTGTCCGTGTCGGACGGAGAGGAGGGCAACACCAGCGACCACTCCCACAGCGGCACGCCGGATGTGGGTCAGTACCAACACGGACGAGCGGCTGGACGACAAGAGCGACGACCTTTCTGTCCCCAGGGGTCGGAGATCCCCGCCGACCCCGCCCCTCGACCCCGCCGACGGTTTATCAGAGAAGGAGGCCGCCATCCGCCAGGTCAAGGACCCAGCTCAACACGGGGCAGAACTGTGAGGTAGGCAGGGCTCAGGTTACTATGACAACTATACGACTGGAACTGAAACTACGAGGTAGGGTTACTATGACAACTAGAACTATGAGGTAGGGTTACCATGGGAACTGTTATGTTTAGCCATAAGCAACAGAGAAATGAGGAGAGCAGGAATCCCATTACAATGCATTCTCTGATTGTTATAGGGCCAACATTCCTATAACAGAAACATATGGTTACATTTGGATTTCGCTCTAGTGTAGGGACCTTCGTTTTCCCTGATCACTAGGGCCCAGTTTTAGGGGGACAGAATATTTACAAGCCAGGTAATACTCAGGTAGCCTGGGTCCAGTCTTTTCGTGCTATCGTCACACACCTTGCCAGTCAAACATGTTGTGCATGACAAGGAGTGGCAATTTTTTTTTATTTGACCTTTATTTAACTAGGCAAGTCAGTTAAGAACAAATTCTTATTTACAATGACGGCTACACCGGCCAAACCCGGACGACGCTGGGCCAATTGTGCGCCGCCCTATGGGGACTCCCCAATCACGGCCGGTTTGTGATACAGCTTGGAATCGAACAAGTCGGA